TTGTAGTCACCATAAGGGGGCTTGGAAGTGACCCTCGAAACCACAACTCGCGCTCACTTTTTCAAAAACTCTAGCAATGCCCAGCTCCACGAGCGCCATCATTGTCCTCTCGGCGGCACGCATCGCCGTGATGCTCTTATATACCTGTCACACGGGTAGCGATAACTACAGTTAAGCTAACTACGGTTACAGTTAACCACGGTTAGAGATAGCTACATGGCAGAGGTAACTGTAGTTGGTCTGCTATAACCACGGTTGTCGCGAACCGAGCTAGGCAATCTCGGTTTATGCTCGCAAACCACAAATCAAGTAGTAGTCAAGATGGCGGACACCCCTGCAAAGGTGTGCGAGTCGGCATAGGCAAAGATGAAACCTCAGAGGCGTACCAGCTGGCCAGACGCAAACACACGAGCGCTGATACGCTTGTGGGAGGACAACCTGGTAGCACTGCGCTCGAACGTGCGCAATGCGCGCTTTTACTCTAGAATTCTCGAGTTGCTGAATGCCGGACTGCAACATCACGAAGGCCCGAAGAACGCCAAACAGCTGAGACTGAAAATAAAAAGCCTAGGCAAGTGCTAAAGGTGAACATCGAGGTTTTTCACTTAAAATATAATTGTTTTAGTAACACGTCCAACGATGACATTGACTGGAGTATGTATGGCAGCGCAATGGGAGTGGCGAGCGCAACCTAGCGTAGTTGCTTGTTTAGTTGTCTCGATCGGCAAAGTGTCGCACGTACAACAGTGAACTGGTGTGCATGTAACGTGATGGTTGGGCCTCCACAACTTTTTTCATGCTCATGTTACGTTTCTGTTGCTGTTACACGTGCAGTACGGCCACTAGCGCCAGCATTATCGCGTCGCCGTGTGCGAGCGGTCTTTAGGGCCTATGCCGCATTAACTTAAGACGGCCGACATCGACGCTTTTCGCTAAACGGAAGGTGGAAGTGTTGCGGGAAATGAACTACATTCAACAGATGTACGTTACGGTGCCCAGAAGCTTTTACTTACTGATTTGAGTACATTTGCTCTGTTTGTCGAGAACGCTCTGCTGCCCCCACCGTAAAAAAAGACACTGAACACTTACTTGACCATTCTGATGCGCAAACTTCTGTTATTGAGAATGTAGAACATATTTTAAGCTTAGTTAATTTGTCAGACGCCCTGAAGCTGAGATGCCAATTGCTGATAAGTTGCACAATTATGTGGTTGAGATTTTAGAGCAACACTCTTGCTGTACAACCTCTGTATACGCGAAATAAATTCTGATGTTGACGAAATGATATTCAATAATATTTGGTGCTTTTAATTTTTATTGTTGCTGCATTCTGGATTATCAAGCAGTTTCTAGACTCCCGGTCAGTAACAAAGCCAAAGTGCATGAGTATTGATGTGCCCGTAGCTGATATGTTCATGTGAAATGCCCCAGCCATGTAGAATAACGCCAAGGTGTTTTCTCTGAAATTACTAATTATAGCAAGGAGAGACTTTTTTTTACGCGGACTGGGTCCAGAATTTCAAGGTGGTGGTACTACTGGCTGCTCCAAAACATTGAGGGAAAGCACAATGCTTCCTTTCTTGACAAAATAGTATGTCAATTATCACCATGCGAGAGCGAACGTTTGAATGAAAAAGTACATGTACGCCGCACAATGTTTTATTGATATTGACGTTTGAAACATGTACATCTGAAATTTGCCATTCTTAGTCATAAAAAATACAAGTTGTTTGTGGAATTTGGTGTGCTTCTGAAGAGGTCTGAGAGATATAAAACACAATACTCCGGGAGTTTGTCAGAGGGTTTCTCCAAAGCGGTGATAGCAACAGGCACAGGTTTGCTCGTTAGGTTCATTACGTGGGTGCACTTGTGTAAGGCCCAAGAAGATTCGCAGTTTTTTTGCTTTTGAGCATGTAAACATCATGTGCCAGCATGCTTGGAATCTCCAAGACAGAGCACCAAGTCAATGCGATATAGCTGAATCCTCAAAACAGTACTATAAAGATCAAACGACAACATACAAACAATTACATCGAATACTCTTAGAAACGCAGCAAAAATTTTATGATCATAAAGTGGTAACTAACACCTAATGTTGAGCTGATATCCTAGCTATAAGTGACACTGTATGAAAAGTGTGTGAGCATTCAAGACCTAAAGTACGCTACTTTACCTAAATGTAAAAGTATACGAATCTTGCATTTTACTTATACTGGTGCTGCTGCTATACAAAAAAGTACGTTTGTCAATATAGTGTCTTTATACGGCACTGTGCAGGACATAAATTGACAGAAAAACTGCGGTACCAATCTCGGATATTACCTTCATAATTTAGGCGCGTGGCTTGTTCATCAATCTTTCCTTTGATCTTTTATGGTACTTAACAGCAACTAATGTGTTCGAATACAAACAATTGAAAATAGTACATTAAAATCACTTCAATGACCAACCGACAAGTGTCGCAAAACTGCATATTGGTCAAGCATCTGAAAACCAGCTGCAGAGAGTACTGTTTTCACAATATTTTCTTGTGCGTTTTTCTGCTAGAATTTCAGAGGTTACAAAGCCGTATAAAGGCGCATAAGTACTTGCCTCATGGGAGGACCATGGGAACCAGGAAAATGTGGTGACCAACGACGACGTTGCAACAAAATCGAAACCCTGGAGGAGACATTCTTGCCATGCACAGGCACATAAGGGGGCGCTAGCGAACCTAGCGCTCCTCGTGATGACAGTGGTGGCACAAGAAAGGCACGCAAGTGGCCACTGGCGACTTCCCTACTGCCCCATGAAAGCCACAAAGAGGAGGTATCTCACACAAGAAATCAGAAAAAAAAGAGGCAGAAGCTGATGAAAAAGCTAGTGAAGCTGCAAGGAGAAGCTCATGATACAAGTACAAGCATGTTCCTCATGATGGAAAGGTACTTTGAGTCAAAGGACACCAAAAAAAAATTCTTCTGTAGTACGATCTGCAGTGAAATTTCTAAAGATTGCTCGCAGTGCCCACACACGGGTTTGATTTCAGGGAGAAACAAGAAAGGTACAGCTTGCATCCCTAAATCGTAACACAACTGGTTGTGTTACTGAATGCCCCGCCGCAGTGGTCTAGTGGCTAAGGTACTCGGCTGCTGACTCGCCGGTTGCGGGTTCGATTCCCGGCTGCGGCGGCTGCATTTCCGGTGGAGGCGGAATTGTTGTAGGCCCATGTGCTCAGATTTGGGTGCACGTTAAAAAAACCCCAGGTGGTCGAAACTTCCGGAGCCCTCCACTACGGCGTCTCTCATAATCATATGGTGGTTTTGGGACGTTAAACCCCACATATCAATCAATCGTGTGTTACTGAACAAAATAGTGAAATACATATCTAGAAGTACACGTTGCTGGGTTAGTCCATTATTGTTCATGTGGAAGCTACAGTTGTAGCTTTTTCGAGCAAATAAATAATGAAGGAAATAGTCTAGAGGAGCCCCAACTTTCGACTGTTTATTTAACACCCAGTACAGCGCAATATGCTGGCATAGATAAGCATATATGCTTCTGCGCATGTCTATGCCTATATATGCTGGCATAGATATACATATAAGCTTCTGCGCATGTCAATGCCTATATATTGCGCTGTACTAAGTGTTGGATAAACAGTCGAAACTGTGCACTCTCCTAGATCCTTTACCTCGTTTTTCTTTGCGCGAAAAAGCCAAAACTGGCTCTCAGTTGAATGAAATGCATGCGCCGCAACATTTAAGCCTCGCAATTCGCTGTCATGTCTGTGTCTGCATGCCTTACACCCTTGCGTATGCTATGATCATATCTAATGGAATTAAGTTCGATGTTTCAAACTATAGGCCCATCTCCCTTACACGGACTAGTGGCACTATGCTCTAGAAGTTTGTATCCTGTACAAGTTCTGTAAGTATCGTTTCCATAGATGCAGGCAGGCTTGTATGTGCCGCTGTTCAAAAAGGACGAAGATTCCCTTGCGGAGAAGACGATAAAGTTGTATTGCCGTTGATCGAATCAGTGCTGACGCTTTTGTGGGGTCTTATCTACAGGTTGCAGTTATAGTGTAACGTGACAATTTAAATCACATACCAACCTACGTTGAACAACTATACATTTTATCGCCATGTCTACGGAGTTTTCGTAGAGGGGGCTCAACAGTAACACAACTGGTTGAATTAATGCTTGACATTGTTGCCGGGCATTGACAACCAGGAAAAAATAAACCTAGTACTACTACATTTTACCAAGGCATTTGACTGCGTGTCCCATAGAAAGCTAGTTTTGAAACTTTTTTCTGTTTTCGGTGACAGTCCTATCGTTCTATGGACACAGGACTACTTAAAGATCGGCAAAACTTTGTGTGAATTCATGATGCATCATCATCATCACAACCTGTAACCTCAGGAGTAAGGGTGTAAGGCATAGGTTGAAACATCGGACTTCTTTGCAATGAATGTGATCATAGCATATACAAGGGTGTAAGGCATGCAGACACAGACATGCCAGAGAATCGCGAGACTTATATGTCGCGGCGCATGCATTTCATTCAACTGAAAGCCAGTTGTGGCTTTTTCGTGCAAAAAAAACGAGGTAAGGGATCTAGGAGAGTGCACACTGCAGGGCAGTGTTCTCGTGCCTTGAGGCCTGTGTGTTTAGATTTAGATGTACGTTAAATAAGCAGAAGTCAAAATTTATGGAACCGTCAACTGGAGCATCCTTCATAATCTTAGTGGTTTAAAACATTAAACTGCAACAAATTATCGTATGCAAGGGTAAAAAGTACGACATATTCATGGCATTGTGATGTACTCGCACGGCATTTGGGTCATATCACGACACAGGCAATGCGTAAAAACTTTGCGCAGTGCTCCTATTAGAATTTAGCTGTGTTGTAACAAAGAGCACAATACTGCTCCTTTCTGCAGCATTTTCTCCTTTAGTAGAGTGCAAGTGTTGAGCAAGGGCATTCCTCACAGTCACATCAGATGGTTCCACCGGTCTCATCGCATGAACTGGTTGAGGAAGTCTTTGATCTTCCTTTGTGACGGAATCCACCTACAAGACATTGCAGCAATCATTGAGCTGTTCACAAGTGTTGTGCAGAACAAAACACGAACGAATGATGCTGTGGAAATTGTCAATGTCACACTCGGGTGTGTGCAAGATCCAGAAGCGTGCCTTCAGTCGACCAAATTCATTTTTAACTACACAACTGGTACTCGAGAGAGCGTAATGAAGGTACTGCACAGCGAATCTCTAGGGCTAGAGTGAAGGTAAGGCTTCATCATTGTTGGCTGTAACGGGAAAGCCTGCTCAGCAAGCAGCACAGGACAAATTTCCACAATCTTAAGGAGCCTTTTGTCTTTGGTGTATTAGCTGCTAGCCAACACTTTAAGAAGCCGTGACCGCTGAAAGACATTGGAATCGTGGTTTTGTCCAGGCGTTCCTACATTAGTGTATTGAAACTTGTAGGTGTGGTCCAACACAGCTAATATGATGCTGTACCACCCCTTATAACTAATGTATTCAGTGGCATTCTGTTTTGGGGGACAGGCTTCAACATAGCACCCGTCCAGGGTGCCTCTGCCTCGAAGAAACTCTGTCACTGCGGCAAACGTGCGTACGTGCTCGGCGGTTTCGCGTTCCCTGAGAAATTTCACGTATCAGATCCAGTCGGCGAACAGCAGTGGCGCGAAACATGCGTAAAACAGAATTCACTGGGAAGCGGCCACCATTAAAGATATTGTCCACATTTCTGTCCTCAGCAGAGGTAGCGTGGCGGTAGAGCGCTATTGCAACACGCTTTTTGAGTGGAATAGACTTCCGCATATTCGTCTCCCGACCAATGCGTTCTTTTGGGTGGAGCGCATGCCCAGAACAACAGGCGGGATGCGTCTCCACCCAGCGGTGTCCTGCGGCGGCTGGCGATGAAAACGCTACACCACGTCATTACTCATGGGACGTACAATGTTGTAGGCATGCGAGAGAGACCGATGACCAGCTGATGCCAGCGCGTCCGATTGCACAGCTGCTCTTGGTTGTTTTCGTGAAGTTGGCTAAAATAGGCGACCAACTCGAATTCCATAGAACTCCGATCAGTCAACGCTGCTCAGTAACATGAATAACGGTCTAAAACTTCACCCGCAAATTAGCCATTAGATAAAAATGCTGCGTATTCTTGACATTAAAAGCGTGCTATCCGAGTACCTCCCACATATGAGCTGAACTGTTCTGCTCAACTTAGGATGTTGGGTTTATGCAAATGAGGCCTCATTCACTAAGTCATTCACATATTGCATCACATTCAGTCATTCACATTCATATTTATTGCATCTTTGGCAAAACGAAAAAAAGTTAACAGAAGCCCCATTCTCCCCCCCCCCCCCAAAAAAAAAACAACGAAGTAATCGGAGCGTTAGCAATGCATCAGGCAGTTATGTTTCTTCAATTGTCTTCTGTTTTTTTATTGTGTTATTCTAATCGCTAAAGTATTAAAAAATTATTGCTGGATTTTTAACGTCCTGTTACGACGATATGATTACGAGAGACTTCGTAGGGCAGGCTTTCCGAAATCGATGATCTGGGGTTCTTTCACGGGCACTGAATTCGAAGCTCACGGGCCTCAAGCATTTTTGCCTCTGTCGAAATAAACATATAAAAAATAATAAATAAACATATCAATAAATAAACAAGCAATAAGTAGGTAAATGGTAACATAAGCTAAAAGACGATTAGCTATCAGCAAACAAAAGTTAGGGGCTGCGACTTATTACGCTCTTGTACTGCAATAAAAATAAATGCACCAGCATCTTCTTGTGTCAAATCAAAACCCTTCTAGCGTCTTGCTTGGAAAAAAAAGATCGAAAAGTTTTACTGTTTTACCTTTTTTGCAACATTTTATGCAAAACTGAGCAAGTATTCTACTCTTGAGATACGTGATTTCAAAATCAAGAAACCAAATGATGCTCTTTCGCTGGCAGCGTAAAACAGTGCATTCTCATGCACGCACATTCGCAGTCAACAAAGGCGGTCCACGTGCGGGCATTTTACCGCAACGCGTAGCGCGTCCGGGTGCTCCTGGCGTCCGGCTCTTTGGTCTGCGGCCCTTTTCTGCGCCTCTCTTCCGGGAGCACCTCGGCCTTACGTTCGAGCTGGAGAGCCACGTGCTCGACCACTAACGCCTCAGCTGATGGCAGCGCCAGCAATGCGTCCGCCCAGGAGGCCAGTCGGCCACCACTAGTGGACACCTTTGCGGCTTGCTTCGTCCTGGGCAGCTTGTCGGTCAACTTATGCAGCAGGTAGGAGAGCCACAGGGCATTGGTGCGCGGGTGATACGCTTCCCAGTCATCACTGAAAGATAAAAAATAAAATGGGAGGTTGTATCGCAGCCAATGAGATGCCGGTGATCTAAAATTGAGCTTCGAAAGTTGTATTTCACCAAAATCTTTTCGAGAGGGGACAAAAAGAGCAGATTTCTCCTTCAGGAATGAGTCCGGTAATTTTCTTTGTCTTTATTTTTTATATCATTTACGCAGCTGTCACAGCGCGAAGAATATTGCACGAGCGACGGGTTTCATTATCTGAGCTCATCGCTAATGACCCAGTCGTGGAAAACAAAAGTTGACTTTGTTGATGGTAAGGTGAAACACATTCGAGGTTTTAGGAGCTTCCTCTTTTTGCAGGGTGGGAGAAGAGGGGGGGTTGTCTCTCGTCGTTGAGCCGGTGTGCATGCTAGTGTTCCTTGCTCCCACTAGAGGCGCAGCTGTGCTCTTAGTTTCCAGAGCACCCACTACATGGTGTGCCGCCGCTCAGGTGATACTCACCTGAGCGTAGTGGGCGAGGCCTCATACAGTATATACTCGCTCCGCGCAGCGGGTGACGACTACGATGACTTCGCGTCGCTGAGAAAGGCAAGCAAGGAAGAGACGCACGTCGGAAATGCTGGTGGTGGAAGTGGTGTGAATGCCATGGTCGAAGCGACTCCAGTCGTCGTGCCTTGCAGCTTCTTGAGGGCCGGCAAAGGCGCGTCTACAGACAGCCCAAAGTGTGTGTTTTACACAGACGACGAGTTGCGGACTATGCATATTGCCACTTACACGTAGTGGGTCGACTGCAAGAGTGGCTCTTAATCTGGAAGAAAATAAAAGATCGCGTGCTTCTTCTGCGCTCGAGAGCCAGCCACGACTGGCGCATTGTCCTAGAGCTACCTACTCGGTGGTTTAATACCCCCCCCCCCCTAATACTTGTGATTCATTGTGACAAACTGGTGGAGACACTGGGTAGTCTCACGGATGCTGCAGACCCACCCAGGGAGCCGTAATACGAGTCCAGTGCCAGTCAATACTCCCGCGCATCAGACCAGCCACCAAATCAGGGTATTGCCTGCGGAAGTCGACGATACTGCTCTCACCACGTCGACAAACATGACCAGCGCTTCAGTGCAAACCTCGCCAACTGGCACGGGAAGCATGACGCCGAACCACTATACGTTGGACAGCCCATGGGCACCGGCGACGTTCCATAGTACGGAGTGCCAGGACGTTGAGGACTGGTTGGCGGACTTCGAGCGCGTAGCCACCTTGAATCAGTGGGACGACGCGGCGAAACTGGGTCGTGTCTATTTCTATCTCGAAGACAGAGTACATACGTGGTATAAAAATCGAAAGGAGCAGCTGACGACGAGGTCCCGAATTCTCTCGTAGACTTCGGCAGACCTATGCAAGTGCTGATCGCCAAGAACGAGCTGAACGAGCAATTTCGGCCCCTGTCCAGTCGCTAAACGAAACTGTGTCCACGTACGTTGAAGACTTGATGCGCCTATTCCGACGGGCCGATTCAAGAATGACGGAGGGCAAGAAGTTGCGTCACTTGATGCGCGGTGTCAAGGAGTTGCTTTTTTCCGGCTTTGTGCGAAGCCCTCCGAAGACGGTCGTGGAGTTGTTGTTCGAAGCCGTGACAATGAAAAAAAATGCTGCAGCAGCGATCCTATCAATACGACAGGCGAGTCAGTGACATATCCACTGCTGACGTTTTCACAGTCGCTGGAAGTAGCAACGACTGTCTACGTGAACTCATCCGTAGTATAGTACGTGAAGAGTTGGAAAAGGCTGGTGTAACACCTCATCCTACGGTTAACTCTATTGCAACTGTGATCAAGGATGAGGTGCACCAGGCCCTCCGGGACACCTTGCCTCCTGATACAGCTGCGCCAGCTCCTGTTGTATACCGCCGTGGGACAACCTACGCGGAAGCTTTGAAATGCCCTGCTGCATCGCCGCCATTGTTCGTTCATCCTGTCCCTGCTGTTTCTCTCCAGTCAGCGCAGCACATACCGTGCTACGAAGGCACGTACACGCCACCACCCTTGCCCTTTGTCCGTGGCGCTTCTGTCGCCCATCGTTCGGTACAACCAGTTCAGTACATCGACAATCGGCACACGTCTCCTCAGAAGTATGATGTTTGGCGCACACCTGATCACCGGCCTCTATGCTTTTACTGCGGAGAAGCTGATCACTTGTGCCTGCAGTTCCCATATCGCCATCTTCGGCTTCGCGGCTTCTCTGCATACTCGCCTGCCACCCCTTTATGGCCAGAGACCACGCGACAACGAAAACTACCTCTCCCAGCAGCATGCACCACCGTCTGCTGGGCGCAAGTCGCGCTCGCCATCACCGAGGCGATATTTCATCAGTGCCCCAGCGGTATTCTAGCGCAAAATCTCCCAGCCCCTGCCGGTAAAACTAGCTGAAGCAACCTGTGGGGGCGGGGTCGCTGAGCGTCGAAGCGCTGAAGACCTCCTATCGACGCAGAACCGTAGAGAAACATGTACGACATCACCTGCTGCTGCAAAGGATAGCCGGCTTTCCCTCGACATAGCTGTGACAATTGATGATTGTGCAGTTAATGCGTTAGTGGACACCTGGGCAGACTATTCCATATTGAGTAGGAAACTGACAACGCAGCTGAAGAAAGTAATCACGCCGTGGCATAACTCGCAGATTCGGACAGCTGGTGGCCATGTCGTTACTCTGCTGGGCGCCTGCACAACTAGAGTACAGATTCAAGGGTACACATTCGTAGCAAGCTGCCTTGTTCTACGTGAATGCTCTCGTGACGTCATTCTGGCAGTTGACTTTCTACTGGAAAATGGAGATATCATTGATGTGCAAGAGCAGCTGCGTCACGTTCTCAGCCCAGCGAGCAATCAACGTGCAGGATGACGGAAGGCGTGTCGACAGTACTGCGTATTTCTGAACAGAGCGTGACTCTTCCTCCACGATCAAGTGTTCTAGTCGACGTAACATGCTGTTTGAGCGATGGCGATGTGGTGGCCGAGACAAATTTAGAACACTTCCTGCAGCAAGGCATATGTTGAGCTAGAAGTGCAATACACCTTTGTGATGGCCTATCTGAATTGCTCGTTACCAACTTTATCATCGAGCATCGATACCTTTTCCGTGGCACTTCGATAGCAGTTTGCCAACGAAGTAGCAAAGGTCACCAACTGTTCATTGTCAGAGCTAGTGGATACTGCAGGCACGTCAATGAGCAATATTGACATTACTCCTGATCTGTCCACCCATCACCCGACTGCGCTGCGAGCGCTCTTGTTCGAGTTCAGAGTCTTGCTTCTCAAGTTGCTCGAAAATGCGCCAGACTTCCATTATTCTACAGAGGATCATCACGTACGAGGACGCATGCCCGATACACCAGCACCCATACCACGTGTCGGCTAAAGAACGTGAAGCGATACGTACGCAAGTCCAGCGAGATGCTTGACGATGGCGTTGTCGAGCCATCCAACAGCCCATGGTTCTCTCCAGTCGTGCTTGTCAAAAAGAAGGACGGGTCACTATGCTTCTGCGTCGACTACCGAAAGCCTAACAACGTGACCAAAAAGGATGTGCACCCGCTGCCATGTATTGACGATTCGCTGGATAGACTTTGTCGTTTCCATTATTTCACTTATCTCGATCTCAAAAGCGGGTACTGGCAAATCGAGGTAGATCAGCGAGACTGCGAGAAAACAGCCTTTGTGACTCTAGACGGCCTATACCAATTTCGAGTACTGCCTTTTGGTTTGTGTTCGGCGCCGGCAACTTTTCAGCGAATGATGGATACTGTCCTCACAAGGCTCAAGTGGCAGACTTGTCTTGTCTACCTTAATGATGTAGTGGTCTTCTCTTCCACGTTCGAGCAGCACCTTCACCGCCTGGGCAGCGTGCTGGAGGCTATCCGATCGGCGGACCTCACACTAAAGCCACAGAAGTGCCCCTTCGGCTATGAAGAACTCAAATTTCTTGGACATGCAGCTAGCGCCGAAGCAGTCCGACCTGATCCGGACAAGCTTGCCGCTGTTGCCGAATTACGCGCTCCTGTCGATAAGAAAGCTGTCCGGCGCTTCCTTGGTTTGCGTGCCTACTATCGCCAGTTCATTCACGGCTTTTCACAGATAGCAGAACCTCTGGCTCGTCTCACGAGGGACGACACGCCGTTTGTCTGGGAAAACGAGCAACAAGCAGCTTTTGATGAACTGCGACAGCGCATGGGATCAGCGCCTGTTCTCGCTCATTTCGACGATGATGCTTACACGGAGGTCCATACTGACGCTAGTAACTATGGGCTCGGTGCAGTGCTCGTTCAGCGTCAAGAGGACACTGAAAGAGTGATAGCCTACGCCAGCCGCTCTCTATCCCGTACCGAGGCAAATTATTTAACTACGGAAAAAGAGTGCCCCGCAGTCGTGTGGGGAATCACCAAGTTTCGCCCGTACCTTTATGGTCGTCCTTTCAAGATAGTGATGAACCACCACGCCCTCTGATGGGCGGCAAGCCTGCGCGACCCTTCAGGACGGCTAGCACGGTGGAGCTTGCGGCTGCAGGAGTTTGACGTCACCATCGTCCAAACGTCCGGCTGTAAGCATGAAGACGCTGACACACTGTCACGCGCACCCCTTCACGTCGTCAGTCAGGAAGCAGAGGAAGACAAAGGCTTCCTGGGCGCCATTAGCTCATCAGGTTTGAGCAAACGGCAGTGAGATGACGCAGAGATTCGTCCAATCGTCGATCATTTAGAGGGCCAGGGCGCAATCATACCACGCCATTTATCCCGCTCGTCGATGTCGTTCTGCCTTCGAGACAGTGTACTGAACAAGAAGAACGCTCGTTTGAACGACCGTGCTTATTTCCTGGTGGTTCCTCTAGACATGCGAGACGACGTCCTTTTCGCTTGCCATAACGAACCCACATCCGGTCATCTGGGCTACTCACGGACACTTGCCAGAGTGAGTGAAAGGTACTATTGGCCAGGACTTTCGGCAAGCGTCAAGAAGTACGTCAAGAGCTGTGGGG